ATATATATAGCAACAATGGTAAATACTGTAGATTTATATATATACACACACATATATGCACATTCATACTATTTTCTTATGTCATCTATAGTATTTTTTATCTGTATGCGGGTTTCTTTTTTGATGTGTTTTTAACATGCTAAAAGTAACAAGTGTATTTTGGTTTTGTGTCTTTTATGTGCATTTTTTTCTTATGGCAAAAGTGCTACATCTCTGATTCTTCTAAGCCTAATTGTCTTCTAATTGAGTAGATATTGTCAGTGTTTGTCTGTGTTATATATCACAATCCTGTTACATACTTTATTAATTTCCAGTAATACCATATTTAGGCCTACATTCCATATTTTATATGTTATTTATTAAGCCATTGTTAATAGCAATAAGATCATATCTTCCATCTTATCAGTGATAAAATGTAGCTCTCTATTTTTTAAGTACGAAAGTTTAATTCAAAATTATTTTGCCACCATAAAATTTGACTCTTTTAGATTTATCTTTTAATAATTAACAGAAGAAAAATATTGGTAAAGTGGGTCCAAACTTATTTATGAACCAAATTCAGTAAAGAATTTTATGTCATAAAGACTGATTTTACTCTTTTATACCTGCATATAGTTGGTATAAATATTATGTCATTAATAAGCCTCCTTCATGGCAGTTTTGCTTAATTTAATAAGCATTTTGGTGTATTTTTTTCCCTTAAATTTAGTTTGAAAAGTAAAGCTGACTCAAGGTCTCAAAGGACTTTAAAACGGACTTTTTCAGGGTCTTAATGTTTTTCTAGAATTTTCTTTTTTTAAATGTACTGATTTTAAAATCGGAAGATATATGTAAGATCAGATACCAATTGTCAATGCTAGAATATTTCATAAAAGAATAAAGAGATTCACTCAAATAGGGCATTGCTGAAGGAGAGCGGTAGATGAATAGGATGTGATTGTGTCAACTTTATTCTTCTGTTTGAAAATCCTTCTGCTAAATTTTATGTTATGATCAGTTTAAGTTTAAAATTGACTTCCAAAGCTATAGTTACTTCATACCTCTCCCTTGGGCTCCATTATGCAAACACAAAAGCAGTGCCCAATACTCTTCTGAGATCTCTCTTATTTTCCTGGTTAGAGGAAAAACTTATGTATGCAAATAAGCTTTATTTACAGAATACCTACAACTCATTCTACTGGAAATATTCTTAATTATCTTTTGAGAACCACACTTTCATTTTAGTACATATTTCCTTATAGTTTAGAAAGACGTATTTAAAAGGGAGTGGTCTTGCCTTTTAAGTGTTTATATCTAATAGATAGCAGTGCTTATTGATCAGGAGGCTTTTATAGATCAAACTTTGCTTTTAAGATGACTCACGGTATTGAAATTCCATTTCAGTAAGATCATAATTAATAAGACAAGGAATTCCATTTAACATTTATTTCTAAATTTTACTTCCAGAAGGACTATTTCATTACTCCTAAGTCTAGCACTGCTGCTACTCTATATAGATGGGGAAAAAAAACCCTGAGAAATAAAGAAATCCATTTAAGAATACACAATAGTAGATCTCAAACCATGGTGATCTTTAGAATTACCTGGAGAACTTTCTTAAAACTGTCTGCCTAAGTCACACCCAAACCATTTAAATCAGAAAAAGGTAGAGCATAGACATCAGGTAATTGTCTTATTTCCTTCTTCCTTAAAGTTCAGTTAGGTTCTTAAAAGAATTAAAAGCTTTAACCCTCATTATTTTCCCCATGTGACTGTCTCAAATCTTCATTGGTCAGAGTTTAACCAAACAATTCCACTGTTGTCAAACTGAATCCATTTTATGCCTCCATCATGCTTCTCAGACTACAGATCTTTATAGAAAAGAACTCCC